ACATCTGGGACACAGTTGTCTGTGTAAGAACATGTCAAGGGTGTATGGCTTTTCTTGAGCCCATTTGAAACAACTCTTGTTTCCAGATAAGTGTATTTTAAATGTGACCTTTCTTAAATTTGGGCTGGTACATGTAAAAGAGTGAAAGTTTAGTCGTTTTTGGTCTTGTTTTCATTTTTGATTAGAGGAACTTCTGAACTTGGAAAGGGGAAGTTGGCAGCAACTCTCCTGGGCCACATATCAACCATCTTCTGACAGCAGGAGCAGTGATAGTTGGGGGATTGTGAGATGAATGGAGAGGCCCCATCGTGAATTAAAGATGCTGACCTGGGGATTGTTAAGTGCTGTCTTAGTTGCTAGCTTAGTAGCCTTACTGTGAAGGAATAATTAAGATTGTTTCAGACTTTTGTTTGTGTGCTTGTGTTGACTTTTTTAACTTCAAGATATATCAAAGTAATATTCAGTTTAACGTAAGTTAAACCTATTGAAATGATAATTATGTAAAGATAAATTTTCTAGGTTAGTCAAGATTTCTCTTAAGATTTAAGTGCATAAAGAGTAGTAATCTAGAAGTATCTGTGAAAAGTTAATAATGAAAGAAGTTTGATGAAGGTGAATATTTTATAAATTAGAATCTCCACTACTTATCCAACAGTGTTTTATTTCATTAAGGTAGAGCTTGAGAACTCAAGTTCAAATTGTCCCCCCCCACCTTCTTCTATAAATGCAAACTTAAGAGGAAAATAATGATATACATACTCTTGCCTTCCTAAATTATGGCTGCTGAATCATCATATCTACAATATATGACTGGAAGAAGTGGTTCTTCAAGTCAGCCCTCTTACAGGACTTAATGGAATTTGCTTTATCTACTTTAGGTCAAATCCATCACACACTGGCTTATTTGAAACTTTATCATCTTTCACTTTTGGTTTTCCTCTGTTTTTAAACATCTTAGGTATAACATTTAGCACAATTTCACCTTGAAAAAGCACCCAAATTACGGCGTTCCTGAAAAGATCCTATTAAAAGACGGTAGTTGTTTTGAACTGGTTATGAAAGGTGACTCTGGGGTGTGAGAGTGTTGAGCTGTGAGTTTCATCATGCGTGTCCGTTGAGCTTGCTTTAAGAACAATGTTTTGCTTTGCTCTCTGGTCCATGAACTCATTTCCATTGGAGTGAGCTCCCTTAGTGAACTTTGTCTCCTGCTTGGAAGGTCTCTCTTCTGAACCTGGAGCCTGAGTACATTTTCAGAGCCAAATTACAAGTGGGTGAAGACATGCTGCAGTTACTATTTTTAGCAATGTTTTAAAATTTGTGTCTGTTGGGGTGGGAAGGGGAGTGAGGCCTCAAAGATAGGAATTCATTGATAGCTGAAATAGAGACAAGCCTAGTAGCTCCAGCCCCCTTTTCTTGACCATATCACAAGTGATTGAAGCCCAGTGAATTATTCTGTTAGAATTCATTCTACAACATGATAGAACCTTTCTTACTGGGTTGAGAAATGCACATTGATTTGTGCTGTGATGGGTGGTGTTTGTAACAATCACTGTTGTATAGGCTTATGATCTGAGCAAAATGTGAACTTTAGTATGTTTACTATTGCTCTTACTTGAAAATTTTTTTTTTCAAAAAAAAGCACAAATTAAAGTAGTAAATTCATATCCATAGATAGTTCATTCATTCTACAAATATTTACCAAGTTCCTAATATAAGTGAAAGACCACTTCTCATGTTAGATTACTAAGTCATTTGTGTATGTGTGGCAGTGAAGAGAACAAGTCCTTCAAAAAGCATTTGATCATCTTTATTTTTTTTAAATACACTCTCTTATTTTTCTACTTGGTTTTGTTGTTAATCATAGCAGGATATGACAACTCTTATTTGAACTGATTTTTTCATCTAATATAATAATGGAAGCCAAAGTATCATATTTCTTAAGATAGCCCTAAATGTACTCTTGAACTTCTTACTGGAACAATGTTTGATACTCTAGTATATAGGCTGTATTTATGTAATATTTAGAATGACATGTTAATAAACAAAGTAACATTAAAACAGGCACGTAGAGTTGTTTTTTTCACTGAAAATCAGTAGTCTGCAGTCCTAAAAAGGAAAGAAATTCTGACACATGGTACACAGAGATGAACTTAAGGATATTATGCTAAGTGAAAGAAGCCAGTCACAAACAAATACTATGTATGTGATGCCACTTGTGTGATGTTCTTAGTCAAATTCATAGAGACTTAGTAGAATGGCCGTTGCCAGTGTCTGAGGGGAGAGGAGAATGGGGAACTTGTTTAATGGATACAGAGTTTCAGTTTACCAAGATGAAGAGTCCTTTAGGTCAGGGGTCCCCAACCCTCAGGCCACAGACCCATATTGGTCCCTGGCCTGTTGGGAAGAGGTCGCACAGCGGGAGGTGAGTGGCGGGTGAGTGAGCATTACTGCCTGAGTTCCGCCTCCTGTCAGATCAGTGGCAACATTAGAACATTAGATTCTCATAGGAGTGCAAACCCTATAGTGAACTGAGTATGCAAGGGATCTAGGTTTTGTGCTCTGTATGAGAATCTAATGTCTGAGGTAGTACAGTTTCATCCCAAAACCATCCTCCCCACCCCCCACCAACCGCCCCATCCCACGGTCCATGGAAAAATTGTCTTCCATGAAACCAGTCCCTGGTGCCAAAAAGGTTGGGGACCGCTGCTTTAGGTGGATGGTGGTGACGGTTGCACAAAAATGAATGTTTAATGCCACTGAACCATATATTTAAAAATGATTGGGATGGCAAATTTTAGGTTATATATATTTTACCACAACAACAACAACAAATCAGTAGTGTGATTCTTAATGGGTATCAGGCTAAAAATAGGTACACCATGAACATGTCAACTGCTTGATTCTCAACTATACACAAACACATATCATAGAAATCTTTGGATTTTATTCCTGCTGAAAGGTAGTACAGTTGAACTGGCACAGTAGAAAAATGTGTCTGTACCTTTGGGGGTACTTACATGAAGGGAAAGACATATTCTTTATCCTCAAGGAATATATGAATTATTAGGAGAGAGGGAGATAGGTTTAGGAATTAACAACACAATGAGATACTTATAAAGAGCTTTTCATAACAGTCAGTGAGAGAAAACCAAATAGGATGATGTGGTTTGGCTGTGTGTCCCCACCCAAATCTCATCTTGAATTGTAATCCTCAGGTGTTGAGGGAGAGACCTGGTGGGAGGTGACTGGATTATGGAGGCTGTTTCCCCCATGCTGTTCTCATGCTAGTGAGGGAGTTCTTATGAGATCTGACGGTTTTATAAATGGCAGTTCTTCCTGGGCTTTGCGTGCTCTCGCTCACCTGCCACACGTAAGACAGGCCTCTTCCCCTTCCGCCACAATTGTAAGTTTCTTGAGGCCTCCCCAGCCATGCGGAACTGAGTCCATTAAATGTCTTTCCTTTATAAATTACCCAGTCTCTGGTATTTCTTCATAACAGTGTGAGAACAGACTAATACAGAAATAGGGTTACACATGACAAGCAGTTAGTTGTTCTGAAGATAACACTTGTGTTGGATAGGGGAAAATATAAAGTGTCCTTTTAGCTCATCTCCAAAAAGTTAGAGGCACAAGCAAAGGCTTAGAGATGGGGGCTAATGAGCCTTCCAGAACTTACCATAATTAAGTTTGGTTAGAATGGAGAAAATAAGCTAGAAATGTTGGCAAGGGGAGTGTGTGTGGGGGTGTGCATGTGTTTTACATTTATTTCCCACAGTGCCTGACATTGTGCTCTCTGCTTCACATTTTATTTACTGTCCATATTTTGTCCCATAAGGTAGGCAGCATTATTCTCAGATTAAATAATCGGATTCAAGTTTTTCAGTAGTGACATAGCTGAAGTTCATACTCGGGTCCGCCTTAGAGGTTGCCCAGTAGCCGGCCTCATGGCTGCGAAACACGTGGTGCTCCATGATGCACAGTTACTTGCTGTGAGTCACAGCTTAAACGTGAAAGTAAAGTGGGGGACAAATGTTTTTTTTTAAATAAAGATCATGACATCAAAATGATTAGTCAGATAAACTTTGCTAAGATGGCTGGGCACGGTAGCTCACGCCTATAATCCTGGCACTGGAGGCCGAGGCAGGCGGATCACGAGGTCAAGAGATCGAGACCATCCTGTCTAACACGGTGAAACCCCGCCTCTACTAAAAATACGAAAGTTAGCTGGGCGTGGTGGTGCGTGCCTGTAGTCCCAGCTACTTGGGAGGCTGAGGCAGGAGAATTGCTTGAACCCGGGAGACAGAGGTTGCCTAGGGGAAATCTATTCAGAGGTTGTTGGAGGGGATCTTCGCTTCTCTAGTTGTTTTTTTTTTTTGAGACGGAGTCTCGCTCTGTCGCCCAGGCTGGAGTGCAGTGGCCGGATCTCAGCTCACTGCAAGCTCCGCCTCCCGGGTTTACGCCATTCTCCTGCCTCAACCTCCCGAGTAGCTGGGACTACAGGCGCCCGCCACCTCGCCCGGCTAGTTTTTTGTATTTTTTAGTAGAGACGGGGTTTCACCATGTTAGCCAGGATGGTCTCGATCTCCTGACCTTGTGATCCGCCCATCTCGGCCTCCCAAAGTGCTGGGATTGCAGGCTTGAGCCACTGCGCCCGGCCACTTCTCTAGTTTTTAAAATGCTCCACATGATTCTGATGTGTGGCCAGATTTGAAATCTACTGGTTTAGATTTTGTCCCTAAGATATAAGAACTTAGGCTAGAGCTGCTGATACAACAGGAATGGAATGTTCTTTTTCATCTCCTGCAAATATTTTTCAAGTACTTATTTATTACATGTCAGACACTATGCTGGAGACTCAGTTTAAACCCATTTTGAGATGTAATATTATTGCAAGTCAGAGTACCACGGTAAAAAATGAGAACTGTGAATGTGAAGTTTTCAGGGGTCAGACATGGTAGTGTGGGCGTAAAAACCAGAACTGTATATTATTAGGCTGAGAAAAATGTTAACTGTCAATTTTATTTCATTCTTGCATACTCCTGGTAATGTTCTTATTCAGAGTCCAGTTTAAAATTTAGGTATTTGTTTTGAAGATGATGAATCCCAACATGATAACTATGGCTGAAAAGGGATTTTTCAAAAGCAGACTTTGTGACACGAAAACAGGCAAATTTGGTACAAGTAAAGTAGTATAATCCAAATTTATTATATCTAAGAAGCATCATGGGCTGTAACTAGAATCAAAGGTTAATAACATTTTATGCACTTATTCTACAAACATTTACTGAGCATATTAGGTGCTGGGAATGTGACAGTGAACAAAAAACACAAGTAAGAGTGTGCAAAGAATGATCAAAATATCAACTAGCAAGAACATGGAAGAGCTGCCGGGGCCAAGAGGAAATGACTAGTTCTAAAGATGTGTGGATTTCACAGCCTGGTCTCTGGTTTTGAGCCCGATTGCAATTTAGCCTGACTCCTGGCTTAGGAAATGGTAATCCCTAATAAGACAGGGACGATACTGATGTAGAACTTGACATAAGATCTCTATTTTCTTGAAAAGAGCACAAGGTTTGTTTTAAGTCCTGAAGTAGCTCAATCTCTTCCTTCAACTGCTGCCGCCTTTGTTGAGATGCATGAATTTTTTTCTCTATTGCTATGAAAAGAATAAAAAAAAGATTTCAGATTATTCAGTAGTTTTATTAGAAATAATGTACCGTTTCTAGCCCCTTTCACTTGCAAGTACAGATACACAATCCTCATGCCTCCGAGGAAAAGGATCCAGAGCGTTATGGGCAGGAGCTGGTTTCTTTATGCCTTCACTTCCTCCTTCTAATTCAGGACAGAATTCTAACATTTATACACAAAGCTGCCCAGTAAACCCTTAAGATTTTGTGCACATTTAGAGCAGAACAAGTCCCTTGGTATATATTTGAAAACTTGAAAATAGTGACTGTATAACCTTCATGCTATACTATATCCATTTATTGAGATATGATAATTGGAGAATGTGGCTAGAATACCAAGGTTAAGGACAAATCCCTCCTAAAAATGTGTTCAATTTTTAATGTTACATAAAAGCTTTAGGTTTCATTTAGAAACAGGAAGGCTTTTAATTGTGGAAACTTAGAAAAGCTTAGGAGGAAGATACTTAGGCTTTATAAATAACAAATAGTAGTCAATGGCAATGTAATTTTTAAAAGCCTCAAAATCAAAGTTAAAACACACATATACACAACTTTTATTCAGAATAACTGCATACCTATAGTTAATTTAAAATATTAGTAAGGCTAAATTAAGCAAGTTTTTATCAACCGGGATGGTGAAACCCACCTTTTAAATTGAATCTCATGCAGTTCCAAGTAGTGGCACCCCCCATACTACATTATAATCTATGTATTCCCACCTAACCCATCCAAGTAGTGATGTGTCACATGTGTCCTTACATGAAAGAAACACACACGGAAGTCCCCTACAAAATAACTCTTTTTAGAAAAAGATATTTAAGGCTGCTTTAAAAAAATATGGATACTGCCATATAGTAGCAGACATCCTCAAAAGACTATTAAAACAGACATTATTTTTGGTAGATTTTTCAAATATTTTTCCTGCTGGTTATAAATGTAGTAAAAAATTCAAACAGAAATGTATAATATAGAAAGCCAAAATGAGAAAGATTGGCCGTGTTGAGACAGGGATATGAACTAATGATTTCTTCCCAGGGAAATTGTATTGTCTTCCTACCATATGCTGGAGAGACAGATACATCTGTGGAAACGCAGAGTGTGGAGGGCACTCTGTTGTGCAACTTCAGGGGGAGCCATCCACACCAATGCTGTGTGACTCTGTGCACGGCCTGCCCAGCCATGGGTGGCAGCCTCGATAGAGAAGTCAGACTGGACTCAGAAACAAGTGGAGGTGTAGCCTGTCGTGAGGGCATCTTAATGCTGAAAGGAGGACTCACTCAATAAATGGTTGATATTTAATAGGAAGGTTAAATCTCCCTCCTCCAAACCAAACCAGATTTTCTACTGCAAACATTTCTTGGCTATTCTGGCTTGCTCTTTTTTTTTTTTTTTTTTTCCTGATGAACTTTAAATCAGTTGCAACCCTCCCTGATAAGAAATTAAATTAGATTTGAAGATTAATATTGGGAGAATTGAAATTTTGACCTATCCCACCAAGCGAGAGGGAGGCAAGTGGAGGGATGGTTTATCATAGCCTCGCCACGCAAGAGCAGAGAAGCCACAGGAAGCTTCACTAGCTCCTGCCTGGGCCACACACAGGCCAAAATATGCTCCAATTTTGGAATCAATTTTTTGTTGTCTCTACTTTTTTAATGAGTTTTTCTCATTACAAAAGTGTTTGTGTGTATATAGAAAATCTGGAAAATATAGCACTAAAAGAACAGACAAAAATCACTATAATCCAACTACCTACAACCAACTACCGTCTCCACCAGGTGCCGCTTTTGTCTGTGCACGTGTACTTATATATTTTTTTCCTCTGTGTGTGCAGGGGTGGGCAGGGGTCATACTGTTTTTGTAATTGGCTTTTCTCATTTAAGAAAACAATGAACATTCTTCTAAAATATTTTTATCACCTGTATAGTATATTGTTTCAATATGGTGATAAATATTTCTCGACTATGCTGCTCAGATATTATATAACTCATGTACCTGCTTGAAAATTTACAAATGTGTCTTCAAACAATCTGCAGTCAAAAAGTGCACTCCCGATTTCTTCATAGTCTGGAGGGAGAAAAACATTTTCAATATTAAACAGTTTGTATAGGCAGAAACTCCTCCATTTATATGTAATCCAAAACAGGGGAAAGGAAAGAGAGCAGTCATCTGCCATGAACTTTAATGTTAGACGGCGGCGGCAGCAGCAGCAGCAGCAGCACAGGGAAGCTGTCAGAAATGTAATTCTTGGCTCTTTTCTCTTCTCTTCTCCTCTTCCTCTTTCCCTCCTCTCCCCTCCCCTCCCCTCTCCTCTCCTGTCTTCTTTTCTTTGCTTTTTTTGAGACAGAATCTCACCCTGTTGCCCAGACTGGAGTGCAGTGGTGCGATCTTGGCTCACTGCAACCTCTGCCTCCTGGGTTGAAGCGATTCACCCGCCTCAGCCTCCCATGTAGTTGGGATTGCAGGCGCGCACCACCATGCCCGGCTACTTTTTGTATTTTTAGTAGAGACAGGGTTTCGCCATGTTGGCCAGGCTGGTCTTGAACTGCTGACCTCAGATGATCTGCCCACCTCGGGCTCCCAAAGTGCTGGGATTACAGGCGTGAGCCACTGCACCTGGCCCCCAATTCTTGGTATTTGTACTGAATCAGAATCTCTGTGGGATAGGCCCAGCTATCTGTGTCCTCACAAGCCCTACAGGTGATTCTCAGGCACACTGTTTGGGAAGTGCTTGGTCTAGAGGAAATAAATGAATAAAATAATATAATAAATGAGCTTTTGGAAATGTTTACTATCTCACTTTTTGGTTTTGCCCTATAAAAAATAATCCCATTCAAATACACATTTTTTATATTGTTGCCTACAATATAAGCTGTCCAGCTTGTCCTTGTAAAATAACTATATTTATAATAAAGGTTTTAAACTCATGGGATATAAGTTACAAGAAAGCTAAGTAAGGCTGGGCGCAGTGACTCACACCTGTAATCCCCGCACTTTGGGAGGCCAGGGTGGACAGATCACTTGAGGTCAGGAGTTCAAGACCAGCCTGGCCAACATGGTGAAACTCCGTCTCTACTAAAAATACAAAAATTAGCCAGGCGTGGTGGCACATGCCTGTAATCCCAGCTACTCCGGAGACGGAGGCAAGGGAATCACTTAAACCCTGGAGGCAGAGGTTGCAATGAGCTGAGATCGCGCCACTGCACTTCAGCCTGGGAAAGACAGCGAGACTCTGCTTCAAAAAAAAAAAAAAAAAAAAAAAAAAAAAAGCTAAGTAGCTATATACCTGCACATACAAATGGAACTTTGGCTTCCCAAAGAGCTCTTTAAGAAAGAAACTTATTTAACAAAGTTCATCTCTAAACCAAACATCAATTAAAACATTAAAATTCCTTCTTCTATACTTTAAAGTTTGGGTTAACATTATTTAAAAAAGGACACTTGGCTTATTAAGGAATAGAATTTGAGTCAAATCAAAACTGTAACATAATACTGTTCTCAGATCTTAGCGACAGGAGTGCAGGGCGGTGGCAGGGGAGCATATGTGACTGAATCTGTCTCTGAATGGCACGTTCTGTTAGTGGCCAACCTGTAAGACACCTCTGGAAAATGTACCACAACTCTCAGGGCATCAGGTTACTTTTGACTAAATTACTGAGTTTGTAAATTACCCACATCCTGTTGATTTATGAAGCACAGTAGATCTGGTACAATGATTTTATTAAAGAACGAGGTAAAGGGCCAGGTGGTGGCTCACGCCTATAATCCTAGCACTTTGGGGAGCCAAGGTGGGTGAATCATCTGAGGTCAGGAGTTCAAGACCAGCCTGGCCAACATGGTGAAACCCTGTCTCTACTAAAAATACAGAAAATTAACTGGGCATAGTGGCGTGTGCCTGTAATCCCAGCTACTCAGGAGGCTGAGACAGGAGAATCGCTTGAACCCAGGAGGCAGAGGCTGCAGCGAGCTGAGATCCCACCACTGCACTCTAGCCTGGGCAACAAGGGTGAAACTCTGTCTCACAAAAAAATAAAATAAAATAAAATAAAGAATGAGGTAAAGAAGAAGAAAAAAGTAGTATAGGAAGAAAATGGGCCTTTTTTTTTTCTTGGGTTTGTTTTGTTTTACATCTAGGTCTGGGAGAAGTCTCTATACTTAGAAATATTGCTATTCATCAGTACCTGATTCTGAAGTAGTCTCATCCATGAGTTTTTCTGGAATTGAATGAACTTTGTCTAATATTTCTTCAAGTAAGTAATTAAGAAGTCCTGCTTCCTTGCATTTCTTAAGAAAAGGAACTTTCACAGTTGCATCTAAGAGTAAGACAAACATTTGAGAAGGAAATAATCTTAGGGCAGCTAATCATAAATTATTTTATGCTTATTTCTTCAGACCTTGCCTAGTGGTGGATGACATACTTAGTAAAATAATACAGCACCTTCACTGTTTCTATTAATTATAATTTCATCGTATCTCATTTTTTTTGGCCAGCTGAAACAATGAATGAAATGTTACAAAAAGTAAAAGTGAAAATTTCTCTGCTTACAATAACTATATCAGTTAAGAGGATTTTTTAAACATATAAAAACTATAATTTTTAAAATTTCAATACCTTTTGGGGAACAGGTAGTTTCGGGTTACATGGATAAGTTCTTCAGTGATGATTTCTGAGATGTTGGTGCACCTGTCACCTGAGCAGTGTACACTGTTCCCGATATGTAGTTGAATTAAGGGATTTTAAAAGATTACCCTTAAATATTTGACATAACAGCCCCTGTCACTTTTTGTCACAGTTTGTATGTGTTGTTAGTGGAATGTCTATTTCTTTAAAGAACAGAGAACTACAGTTACAGGGGTCACAGTGTGAGGGGTGACATATCACTGGATTCTGAGCTCAGGCAAGCCTGTCTGCGTCTTTATTAAGAGGTCTGTCTTTTCTTAATACTGAAGACAACGGACCATTCCAACCTAAGTTATCTTGATATGCTGGGATTACAATAAAGTGGATAGTTACGATAAAGACTTATACTCATTAATTACTACAAGCCTAGAAGAATAAAGATTTAGGCGGGATACCAAGTTTGAAACACGTGGGTTGACATTTTTGTAAGTATTGTAGGCCATATTTGTCACAGACAACACTTAGTGCAAACCTGTGTGTCTACCATGCTCTTCTTTCACTTGTCTTACGAATGTACTACATTTCATTGTTTCGGGTGACTAGAAGGAGAGAAAATCAAGATTGCATTACATTGATTTTAATATTGCATAAAATGAAAACCAGTCTTTTGCTGTCCATAACTAAATGATACGCCTACAGTAAAAATCATGCCCTGGCTGGGCGCGGTGGCTCACACCTATAATCTCAGAATTTTGGGAGGACGAGGTGGGCGGATCACAAGGTCAGGAGTTGGAGACCAGCCTGGACAACATGGTGAAACCCTGTCTCTACTAAAAATACAAAAATTAGGCAGGCGTGGTGGTGCACGCCTGTAATCCCAGCTACTCAGGAGGTTGAGGCAGGAGAATTGCTTGAATCCGGGAGGCAGAGGTTGCAGTGAGCCAAGATCGCACCATTGCACTCCAGCCTGGGCGAAAGAGCAAAACTCTGTCTCAAAACAACAACAACAACAACAACAACAACAACAACAAAACGCCCCATATTCATATTTAGATGTAAACAGCAAATGTATTTTTGTTTTGTATTATAAAACATCAAGAGGTGTTTGACAAGCACCTCTTGTATAAACAGGAGGAGGTGAAGGTTGCTGGCTCATATGAATTTAGCTTATACGTGCTGATGTATAAAAACTTTCAAATCCCCAAAATACTTTCATACGTTTTATACATAATAATCCAGAAGTTTATAAGAGCTACAAATGTGGTCAGGTGTGGGCCATGCAGCTGGGAAATACTTGGTTCCATAAGGATGTTTGACTGCACCCTCTGCCCGTTTTACCTGTAAGCACCTGTGGGGTCAGATGCTCTCACTAGTTTGGTGCCAGGGAATTTATAGGAGCTCAGAATGTCACCTCCTGAAGGTTATGTGCTTGGAACTTCCAGCTTCATTTTCATGCTCATCTCATTGTGATACTATCATCTAGGAATTATCTAAGAGCTTCCCGACTATGGGATTCTTCCTAAAAAGGCAGCCTCAGGAGCAGCCTTAGCTGAGAACACAAATGAAGAATGTTCTACAAAGGCTGTCTGTTCGGATGATTTGGAAAGTACATTTCACCTGACATTCAGACTGGTTTAAATAAGGACTCTGTATGAAGAAATGCAAAGCTATAAAAACTAAGTCAGATTACCTGTATATGATTGCCTGAGAGGTGTTTCTTCCTTCCTCTTTTTCTTTTCACTCCTGAAAACTTAGCTAAAAATAGAAACCATTTAAAAATTAGAATCCATAAAGGAAAAGATTACTGTTGGACTACATGAAATATACAACTCATAAGCCAAAAGTTTTTACAAAGTCAAAAGATATGGCAAACTAAGTGTTTGCAGCACTTATGATAAAGGGTTAATTAAAAAAATATTATAAGTTTAATGCAAAACAGGTAAATTGAGTAGAAAAATGGGCATATGGGGAACTCTCTGGGGAGAGGGTGCATTGAATAGAAAAATGAACAAATTGGGTCATAGGAAAACAAATATAATTGGTGAAAAGATATGGGAATGCACTCAATTTCACTCATAAGTGAAGATATTCAAAGTAAAACAGACTAATAAAGATGAGGATATTTAATAGATGACATTTGCAAGGGTTTGGTTAAGTGTGTATTGCTGATGCTTTTCCGTCAGTAAACACTGATTTAAAGCAGAATTTGTAGTAGCACTTCCTGCTGAGTTAAAAGGGTAATGACTGAAAAATGACTGTAGAGGTGCTATTTGGAGAGTGTTGTTCATCACCATAAAATGCAGTTGGCATGACGCAGAACTAAGTCTTCCAACGAGGTCCTGACTCCAGTTCACAGTGAACATTGCAGATTTAGTGCTGCTAAGACACTGCTGTTCCACTCATGAATGAAAGTATACCCCATAACTCCAGTTAGCCAGGATCCAGTCTGCCTTAATTAGAACTGAAATGCTAACCATGCATCCTTAGGGAATTTTCACTCAGGGAAAGTGTAGCACTTTTTAAATTTTATCTACTGAAAATTCTTATGGAAGAGAAGCAGTCCCAAAAGTCAAGGCTTTTTCCCATGTCTTAGTTTGGTTCTGTGAGTGTAGGGAGAATGAAAGATACCAGCGAATGGTTCAAAGAGAATAAGTCTTGTTCATAAAGAAGAAAAAATTAGTTAGTTATATCACATAGTACACAAATAAGTTGTCAATTTTCTAGATATGTAAAATTTTAACTCAAGTATTTATATTTTAATTCAATGAAGCTAGAAAATTGGGACTATTCCTTATATTACCTAAATGTTTACCTTTCTTTAAAACCCACAGTGCTAAATTTTAGGAACTTACCACTTTGAGTGCTGTTCGGGAATTGAGCATGTTGTTGGCAAAGCAGTCTGAAATATTTAATTTCAAAGAATTGTAAAATATTTTTATTTACAGTTTTCAAATATCATGTCTATTTTTGTGATTAAAAACATACTACCCTACTTTTCATGATGGTGTCACACTAAAGTTTTTTTTTTTTTTTTTAAAGCTGTTTAAACCTGTGTAAAATTAGTGACCCCCACTGAGTGCAGACAGGAGGCCCAGTTAGATGTCTTTTATGCCCTCAGGGACTTAGGAAGATGATTATGTTCTTTCAAGGAATGAGTACTGATGCAGTATTATGAACAATACTAGTTCATATACAGTGGTCAGTGGGATTTTACTGTATAAAGAGACCTAAAGACATGCAGATTTCCATCTGACGTACAAGATTCTGCTGGTTTTCAACAATAAATAGCACAAAATTGCATGCATTAATTTGAGGAAAAAGTAGTTTTCAGTGAAAACAGATATTTGCCCCAGATCTTAGATTTGACCTACAAAGGGCCTAGAACTGATTAGTTATCTTCCAAGAGAAAGCAGCAGCATAGCAGGCTACGATGAAGAAATGAAGTGAGGCTGGGCGCAGTGGCTCATGCCTGTAATCCCAGCACTTTGGGAGGCTGAGGCGGGTGGGTCACGAGGTCAAGAAATCGAGACCTTCCTGGCCAACATGGTGAAACCCCGTCTCTACTAAAAATACAAAAATTAGCTGGGCGTGGTGGCACATGCCGGTAGTCCCAGCTACTCGGGAGGCTGAGGCAGGAGAATCGCTTGAACCTGGGAGGCTGGAGGTTGCAATGAGCTGAGATTGCACCATTGCACTCCAGCCTGGCCACAGAAGACTCCGTCTTTAAAAAAAAACAAAAAAGAAATGAAGTGAATCATTTTATAGAGCTGCTCAGGCTGCTTTCTTTCTAACCTTTCCTCCTCCTCGGCACCCAGCTTCATCTCCCTTCCTCTCCAGATGGCGTGGACTCTCAGGAAGCAGTGGCCTCCTCGCCTAGGGGAATGCCGTTTCTTCCCATCTTATACCACTTCCCACCTCCTCCATGCAGCCTTCCCAGCAACACCGAAACAAAGTTAATCTCCTCCCACTTTGATTGTGGTATCTCTGAGCACTTTCACTTCCCAAGTACTTAAATTTTTTCAAACATATAAAACAGTGTCGAAAATATCAAGATGAACCCCCATGTTCCCATCCATTCCACAGTGTCAACAATTCTCAACTCAATGCCAAGCTCCCTTCATGTAACCCCTCCTTCTCTGGTTATCCCATGTGCTTCTGTTTGCATTGACCCTTCTTCTGGGCTTCCCACCAGGTGATAACTTCTCTGAGGTTCAATCTATATTTTATTCTTCTTTGTATCTCGTAGCACCTAGCAAGGTGCCTCATGTATGATAAGCATGAAGGTTTAAATTCAGTTTAAAAATGCATAAAAATTCACCTGTTCCTTGAAAAAACAATGCAAGAAGACTATTTTATTGAGTCCCTATTTGTTCTTCTAATGGGTTTTTCAAACTTTAAGCTATAGCAGGGACTTCATTCCTTTTTGTTTGATCTTGTGTTTAAGGTCATTTTAAAGGTCATACCAAAACGAGTTCTTTGGGAAGGTAAATAATAAAAATGAAACTCTGAGACTATAACAACCTGTGAGTTTCTTAGAAAATCAAATATAAAAAGAAGTGCAGTATGAAATTTACATATTTACACATTTCATGCCTGATTAGCAACAAAATACTTACGGAACTTGCTCAAAATTACATTTAAAATTGTTTGGCAAGCTTCTTTCAATGGTAGGCTTCCCTCGTGTTTTAGAATATATAGCCCCCATACCTGAAGACAACATGGTGGCAAAGAGCGAGGACTCGGAAGTCCTGCAGCCCAGCTCTGCCACTGACTAGCTGTGTAACCTGGGGACAAGTCACTGAGTGTCTCAAGGCCCCAGTTTCCTCCTCTGGAAAGTGAAGATAATAGTATATATCTCAGTTGACTATTATGAGGATTAAATGAGTTAACATTTGTAAAGCACTTAGAACTGTGCTTGGCATAAAGCAAGTGGTTATTAAAGAAATAAATAAAATAGTGCCTGGAACACTATGGGAAAATTGGGAATATACGCCCACCGGCAGGAAAAAACAGCAGCCTCTGAATGGAATTTAAAAAAAAATCATCCTAAGAATGTAACATAGCTCACAAAAATCACATTTAAAAAAATCATGCTCTCCTAACATTGAGCTCATTATTCAAGATATTGTGACTAAAATTATATATATATATATATATATTTCACTGAAATTCAAAATTCACGTAACCCCTGGGCATCCCGCAAACTGGCTATGTTCTCATTTCAAAACCATTTACATAAAATTAATCTTTATTTATTAAAAAAAATAGACTTTTTTTTAAAAAAAGTCTCCTTGTCTTAATCTAACCATTCCTTATCCCAATCCCCCAAATGTGGTTTTAAAAATGTTTTATTAAATACTTATAAATTCCTCGAACTCCATCAGACTGTGGAACTGCGTCGTCCTTCTTGGCACAGAAAAAGTGGTAATTCTTGTTACAGTTTTTTAAATCACATCCCACGGTGGCTCCTCTTTTATGACAAAATTTACATTTCTACAGAAGAATAGATTTTATTGAGTAAGTACCTGTTTGTTGTTATTTGTTAAAATTCAAAGATATCATTACATGTTATTTAAGTTCCAGGAGCCCTGCATTTTATCCTGGCATCATGAGCAAGGTTCCATCCTGTTACAAACATTAGGGTACAGTACTTACATTTGGCTGCTCATTTGGGAATTTTGGCAAAACCTCAGCTAACTGGAATGCTTGGACAGACAGTTTTGTAATGATCTGATTAAAAGCAGAAAATGCTTTTTGTTTCAAAAAAACCAATCTCTCTATTTTAAAAATAATTTTCTAAAAAGCAGAGCAGGCAAACTTGTCCAGCTCCAGGCAAGGGGCCCCACTAGGGGGCCCTTTGAGACAGGCGAGAGTGGCCGCTGGCTGTGCCACTAAGAGTGGTGTGATTTCTCTTTCGGACTTAGACCCTGCCGTGGGTGATAATGTCTGTCTTACAGAGTTGCTATTGAGGATAATGTGAGATAAAGTAAGGGAAACCTCCTTGGAATCTAGGTAGTAGGGCCAAACATTTAAAAAAATTCTACAACTCTATTAACAGTTTTTTCTTAGTTCAATTTATTTGCTCCCTGCCTTGTATTTATTTATCTATCTGGTATTTTATATGTGAGAGTGGTGTCATGATGGCTAGGCAGCATGTGGCCACAGCAGCCTCACTGGTTTAGGGGAATCCAGCCAGGACCAAGGCTGATCCGCATGATACTCTGGCTGAATGACGTGGGGGCCCAGTGAACTTGCCTTGCAGAACAGGAGGTCACTCACACCATAGCCCAGGGTCGGCACAAGCAAGCACAGAAACAGTTAAAGGAAATTCAAATATAGGCAAGAAATAAGGTTATGATAAAGGTGGAAATTCAAATCAGAGCATACAAGAACGATCATTTAATTTGGGAGGAGGGTAACTGGCTATGTATATAGGAAAAAATAAAGTTAGATCCCTACCTCACAATATACTCCTGAATAAGTTGCACATGGATTAAAGCTCTAACTAGATAATGTTAAACAAAAAACTCTTAAAGATTAGGAAATATAGGAGAAAGAAAAAAAGCATAGTATGGAGGCAAGGAAGGCTGTCTAAGGCAGGAAGAAAACCCAGAAGCCACAAATGAAAACTCTTGACAGGCTAGGCGTGGTGGCCCATACCTGTAATCCTAGTACTTTGGGAGGCTGAGGCAGGAGGATTGCTTGAGCCCAGGAGTTCGAGACCAGCTTGGGCAACACAGTGAGACCTAATCTCTACAAAAAAACTTTAAAAGTCAGCTGGGCATAGTGGCACACTCCTGTAGTCCCAGCTATGTGGGAGGCTGAGGCCAGAAGATAGCTTGGGCCCGGGAAATCAAGGCTGTGGTGAGCTGTGATTGCACCACTGTACTCCAGCCTGGGCGACAGAAGGACTGACAGAGCCTACTATACAAAAATTTTAAACTTCCATTTTTATAGTGAGGGCATTAAAAAATATTTGAAAGACAAGGAAAAGATGGAAAGAAAAATGTTTGTAACATACTAGATAAAGTTTTCAGATTCTGAAAACCTGCAGAAAAATGGTAACTGGCAAATTACAGAAGAAAAAACACAAATGGCTAATGAACATTTATTCATTTAAAAATACATGAGTATATAGTATTTATTTAGTATGCAGTAGCTATGATGTGGCAGGCACGGTTTTAGGATAAGGGAAAACAGTAGTGGACAAAGCAGAGAAGATGCCTGTCCACGTGAGGCTTACATTCTATCGGAGACAAGGTACAATGATCAAATAAAGCAAAGTTTAAAACATCTCACAAAGTTATATACACATTATATCGAATTAAAATAGGGTGAAGTGACAGAGTGTCACTGGGTCCCTACTTCAGATTGGGCAGTCAGTAAAATGTGTCACCTCTAAGGAGGTGATATGGAAGCTGAGATCTGAATAATAATAAGAGCTCCCAGATGCAAAAAGGAGGAGGAAAGACATTCTAAGCAGAGGGCCTTGGGTCTTGGCCACAAGAATGAGCTTCCCCACTGGCAAGCTACAGCAAGGACAAGACAGATGGCCAGTGCTGTTGGAGCAGCGAAGTGGGCACGACGAAGCCTTGGGATGATCAAAGGGGTAAGTAAGGGCTGGATCAAGTGGGACTTACACGCCAGAGTAAGGAGTTGGGTTTTATCTTTGTGCAAGGGGAACATAAACTGATTAACATTTTTGAAAGATCACTCGGGCTGCTGGGCTGCTGCTGGACGGAGAACAAAGGGCTGGGGTAGGGATGGCAGGAGAGACAGTGGGGTGAGGGTCAGTACTAGCTTTAGAGAACAAGATGGGTGTCTTCACTATGGTGGATTACTGACGCTGAGAGAAGTGGGCGGATGAATGCAAGATGCATCTAGGAGTTTGTGCCCATGGGCTTGATGTTGGGCTGGGAGGTTGACGAGGAAAAGAGAGTCCTTAGACTTCTGGCTTGGGCAAATGGATAAGGATGGTGCTGTTTACTGGGATGAAGAATGAGCAGATTTAGATGGGGAGTGTGTGTGTGTGTGTGTGTGTGTGTGTGTGTGTGTGTGTGTAGGAGATGGAACTGTATTTTTTTGGCCACTTTACTCTGAAATGCTATTGGATGCTCATGTGGCTGTGTCAGATTGGTAGTCCGAATCCTAGGGAGGAGCCTGCTTGCTGAGGGCCCCTGCTGCTCACCCTCGAGGCACTTGCCCAGCTGTACTGAAACCACCACAGCACTGGCCTGTCCCTACGACGGGTGTGTGCCATGTATCTGCCCACATAGTCCAAGGGTTCCATAAATGCTGTGAGTGGGTAACTATTACCTCAGGTGACTTTCCTCTCTTCTCTCCTTTATCCTCTACTTCCAACCCATCCCAAAGCCTTCCCAGTAGGGAAGTCTGCATCCCAAGATCTGCAGAAACCCTCAGGTACCTGCTTTCTGCCAAATATTATGCCTCCAGTCAACTGCCCTCATTTCTCAGCCTGGGTCTCTTCATGACTGGATGGCCACTAGAATTTCACACAGATTTCTTTAACTCTATGTCTCCCCACTCAAATCCAATTAGTGAAGAGCAACAAAAATATTCTAGTTGAGGTTTGTCTGCTACTTTCTAATTAGAGGGGCTCCCTGTTCACCCATCTCATCACACCCAAAATCCTAGGGACATGGCACTGTGAGCACTAATGATGTCAGTAGCCAGTCTTGCCAAGTATTTATTAGTATAGGGTACACATTGAGAGCAGGATCCACACATTCTTTCTTTCTTTCTTTTTTTTTTAAATTTGAGACAGAGTCTCACTCTGTTGCCCAGGTTGGAGTACAGTGGTGAGCTCATAGCTCACTGCAGCCTCGACTTTCCAGGCTCACGTAATCCTCCTACCTCAGCCTCCTAAGTAGCTGGGACTACAGGTATATGCCAATGTGTTGGGCTAATTTTTTTTTTTTTTTGGTAAAGACAGGGTCCCACTATGTTGCCCAGGTTGGTCTCAAATTCCTGGGCTCAAGCAGTCCTCCTGCCTTGACTTCCCAAAGTGCTGGGATTAGAGGCATGCACCACCATGCCTGGGCCACACACAGTCCATTTTTATGACTTGCTTCAGGACCTACTACAGTATTGTGTACACTGCCTAAGACAGCATAATTTGCAGAATTCCATCTAGACTGTTCCCTTTCACCCTGAACTTTCCATTTCTTCGATTTACAAAATGGGCATCGTTTTACCTATAGCTGGGAGTTTACCTAGAACAGTGTATGTAACACACCTACCACAGGATGCTGCTGATGCTGATGCCTTGCAAAGACTAACTGTTTGTCCCCGGTCATTAACCCTGTGGTTGTAGTCAGAGTGTGAGGTGCTCACACTTGCTGTCCTGCTTACTAAGATGTGAAGGGTCCTTGAGAGGAAGTCACTGCAATAAGCCCAGTGGAATGACTTCTCAGCATTTCTTCCTTCCTGAAGAGCCCCCTTATGACCCATGGGGAGCTGACCCCAGCTCCCAGGGTAGACCCTGATTAGTTATGGCCACCCCCAGCAGTTGGTGCAGAAAGAGGGGTGTAACCTAATTAAACTTTTAGAAGGGGGCTTATTCCATGTGTAGGGATGACCTTTCTCTTTCACTGGATATGAACAAGAAAGCCTGATGCTTCAGTTGCTGCCTGCGGCCACCCTATGACCACAAGGAGACCAGCTGATGTTGGGGACAGGAGGCCAGAGAGGAAGAATCTGGGCCCCTGATGACATCAAGCCACTGAATCAACCAGCTTGGAAAGCAGGTGTTTTCTCTGATCAAGTGAAAAAGTAAGCATCCTCTTTGTAAAAGTCTGTTTAACTTGAGCTTACTTCTACTTACAGCAAAAGCATTCTAACTCAGATCACTTTACTGGTGAAGTATATGGTAGTTTAGTTTAAAATATTAAATGTTGGACGGGCGTGGTGGCTCACGCCTGTAATCCCAGCACTTTGGGAGGCCAAGGCGGGCAGATCACCTGAGGTCAGGAGTTCGAGACCGGCCTGGCCAACATGGTGAAACCCTGTCTCTACTAAAAATATGAAAATTTACCGAGCATGGTGGCCTATGCCTGTAATCCCAGCTACTCGGGAGGCTGAGGCAGGAGAATTGCTTGAACCCAGGAGGTGGAGGTTGCAGTGAGCTGAGACCACGTCACTGCACTCTAGCCTGGGCAACAAGAGCAAAACTCTGTCTCAAAATAAATAAATAAATAATTAAATGTTAAGTTGAATTGAGGTTTCCAATACAGTTCCTACTTCTTTCAGCTCTCCAAGAAGATTCTCTATCCCTAGTTTATCAGTCAAATAGACTTCCTTTGGAATGCATCCCCTGAGGCTCTGTTCATCCAGTATAAGAAATAACATCATTTACACTTACCAACTTCCTTCCTCTCTGGATTTCTTTCTTTACTGATTCCACATCAAAACTTCTATCAAGATTAAGTGGATCATGATCCTCACATTCCACAAGTCCTGAAGAATACAGCTGCAGATTGGAAAAAAAAATCCAGAGTATGCACAAAGTAATATTGAAAGCTACATATCAGAAAATCATACCAAAAGTGGAAAATCAAACCAGGAGTGGGAAATGGACTGGGGGTAAAACAGTGGCAACCTTTGGGAATGGATGAACAGACCATAAGCCATCCCATTTCTCTGGGAATGACCCTGGTTTCCAGGCATGTTTTATACTCTGTAATCCTGACCTCTAATAACTCATTGACCTGGGTGGAACCCTGATGCCAAGCTAGGTCAGTCCAATCCCCTATCCTAAAAGTGTGGAATGGGCTTTGAGGAATAGTTGAAGCCACGTGGTCAGAGCAAGTCAGTCTGCAAAGAAAGAAAAACAAGGGCTAGAAAGAGGACATTCTAGGTTCCCAATGGCTTTCTAGCTGTTTCTTACACCCACCTGCATGCCTGCCTTTAGGAAACATGAAATGCTCCCAAAACCTTATTATAAATACCCTTTTATGTTTAGACCGGCTCCAGTCTCTATGTGCTACTTGAAACCAGAAGAATCCAAATCTGAATTGAAGATCAATATTTCACATTTTATAATCAAATAACAAAAGGGCATGAAAAACCTAAGAGTAAATTTTGGTGACATTGGCATAGGCAAAGATTTCATATAAAAATCAGAAAGCATAAAGAAAAAGTAAGTTGGATTATATCAAAATTAAAATTGTCTTTGAAAGACATTGCTAAGAAAACAAAAAGGCAAGCCAGAGACTGGGAGAAAATATTCACAATACATATCTCTGACAAAAGACTTGCATCCAGAATTTAGAAAACACTTACAACTCAAGAATAAGACAATTCAATTAAAAGTAGGCACAAAATGTGAATAGATGCTTCATGAAAGAAGGTTTATGAATGGCAAATGAGCACATGAGAAGATGCTCAGTCTCATTAACCCTCAGGCATATTAAAGCCATAGTGAGATGCAATACACATCTACTGGACTGCCTAAAATAACAAGACCCACTGTTGATGAGGATGTGGAGCAAATGAAATTCTTACATATTATTGGTAGAAATGTAAAATAATGCAATCACTTTTAAAGTTAAACATACACTCACTTTATGACTCAGTAATTCTAGTTCTAGCTGTTTACCCAAAAGAAACATAATCAAACAAGAAAAACAGATTGAGTGCCCCAAATTAAAGGTAAATAAATAAAATTGTCCTTATTTAAAGATGAGGATTGTCCACATACAATATATCCAGGTAAATCTAGAGACTTTTTAGAACTAACAAGACTTTGGTAAGGTTGCTGGATGAGATCAATAAATAAAAATCAATAGTGTTCATATATACTGATAATAGCTCATTTAAAAAGGTTTTAGAAAAAAGTAACAAAACAAAAAACAAGCCCAGGAACATGCCTAACCCCAAGATCTATACCTCTACAGATAAAAATTACTGAATAGCTGGGTGCGGTGGCTCACACCTGTAATCCCAGCACTTTGGGAGGCCAAAGCAGGCGGATCACCTGAGGTCAGGAGTTCGAGACCAGTCAGGCCAACATGGTGAAACCTCATCTCTACTGAAAATACAAAAAATTAGCTGGGCATGGTGGCAGGGACCTGTAATCCCAGCTACTCTGGAGGCTGAGGCAGGAGAACTGCTTGAACCTGTGAGGTGGAGGGTGCAGTGAGCCGAGATCACGCCATTGCACTCCAGCCTGGGCAACAAAAGCAAAACTCCGTCTCAAAAAAAAAATTATTGAACAATTTTGAAATTATGAAAGACCTAAATAAAGACACAAAGACTCATATACAGATGCTCAGAACTGATCTTTATCATAAGAGCTCCAAACTGGAAATAACACGTCTACCAACAGATGAATGAATAAACAAATTGTGATATATGCATACCAATTAAGTACTAAGAAGAATGATAAAGGAACAAGATACAGATACATGCGACATGGGTGAATCTAAAACAGTATGCTGAGCAAAGGAAGTGACACAAAGGAGGACAACGATAGGATTCCTTTCATATGAAATCTGAGAAAAGATAAGACAAATCGATAGGGAGTTGGGGTAGGAAGGAATTGATTGCACAGAGCATTGAGGAAACCCTTTGGGGTAATGGATATGTTTATATCTTGATGGTGGTAGTGGTTACATGGGTCTCATGTGGTTACATGTCTCAAAACTTTCTGAATTGGACACTTAAAATGGGTACATTTGATTTTATGTAAAATATGCCAATAAAGTTAACTAAAAAATAGTAGCAAATCAACATCAACAGTATATTAGAATAAAAAGATCACCGCTGGGAGCGGTGGCTCACGCCTGTAATCCCAACACTTTGGGAGGCTGAGACAGGAGAATCACTTGAGGCCAGGAGTTCAAGATGAGCCTGGATAACACAGTGGGACCCCCATCTGTACAAAAATAAACTAAAAAATTGGCTGGGTGTGGTGGTACATGCCTGTAGTCCTAGCTACTTAGGAAGCTGAGGTGGGAGGATTGCTTAAGCCCAGGAGTTCAAGGCTGCAGTGAGCTATGATTATACTCCATTCCAGCCTGGAAGGGCTTGTCTCAAATAAATAAGTAAAAATAAAACATCACCATTAAATGGTGTTAATCTAAGAATGGTTTCACAGCAGAAAAAATATATAAGTACAACACACATTATTAACAGAATGAAATGAAAAAACTTAAGACCTGAAAACCAAATGCAACCCCTGAGCGAAAATCTTTTGTTGTAAAAAATGTTATTAGGCCAGGTATGGTGGCTCACACGTGTAATCCCAGCATTTGGGAGGCTGAGGTGGGAGGATTGCTTGAGCCCAGGGGTTGTATACCAACCTGGGCAACATGGCAAAAAACCCATCTCTACAAATAGTACAAAAAAATTAGCTGGACACAGTGGCACATGCCTACAATCCCAGCTACTCTGGAGGCTGAGGTGGGAGAATCACTTGAGCCCAGGAGGTCAAAGTTGCAGTGAGGCATGATGGTGCCATTGCACTCCAGCCCTGGGCAACAGAGTGAGACCTCGTCTCAAAAAAAAAGCACACACACACACACACACACGTGTTATTAGTACAACAGGTGAAACCTCAGTGGTTTGAGGAATAGATGGTAGTAGTATAACAAAATTTCCTGATTTTGACGTTTATATTGTTATAGTGTGAGAGAATGTCCTGTGTATTAGTCAGTTCTCATGCTGCTAATAAAGACATACCCAAGACTGGGTAGTTTATAAAGAAAAAGAGGTTTAATGAACTCACAATTCCACATGGCTGGGGAGGCCTCACAATCATGGCAGAAGGTAAGGGGGAGCAAAGCCATGTTTTACGTGGCAGCAGGCAAGAGAGATTTTTGGGGAACTCCTCTTTATAAAACCATCACATTTCCTGAGACTTATTCACTATCATGCGAATGGCATGGGAAAAACCCGCTCCCATGATGCACTTATCTCCACCTGGCTCCGCCCTTGACAAGTGGGGATTATTATAATTCAAGGTGAGATTTGGGTGGGGACATAGCCAAACCATATCACCTTATTTGTAGAAAATACATACTAAAGGCTGGGCACAGTGACTCATGCCTGTAATCCCAGCACTTTGGGAAGCCGAGGCGGGCAGATCACAAGGTCAGGAGATCAAGACCATCCTGGCTAACATGGTGAAACCCCGTTTCTACTACAAATACAAAAAAATTAGCTGGGTGTGGTGGCACGTGCCTGTAATCCCAGATACTCGGGAGGCTGAGGCAGGAGAATCGCTTGAACCCCGGAGGCAGAGGTTGCAGTGAGCCAAGATCGCACCACTTCTCTCCAGCCTGAGGCGACACAGCAAGACTCCGTCTCAAAAAAAAAAAAAAAATACTAAAGTATTCAGGATAGATAACACATAATTTAATTTAAAATGGTTCTGACCCCCAAAAAAAGTTCTTTGTACTGTATATGCAACTTTTCCATAAATTTGTAATTTAAAATAAACATCAAATTATGCACATAAAAAAGTAAAATAAAATAAAGCATTTAGCAATGTTTGTAGCCAGAGAGAGAAAAAGAACCCGGATCATTTCAATAGATGTAGCACAAGCATTTTTTTTTTTTTTTTTTGAGACGGAGTCTCGCTCTGTCACCCAGGCTGGAGTGCAGTGGCCGGATCTCAGCTCACTGCAAGCTCCTCCTCTCGGGTTCACGCCATTCTCCTGCCTCAGCCTCCCGAGTAGCTGGGACTACAGGCACCCGCCACTTCGCCCGGCTAGTTTTTTGTATTTTTTAGTAGAGACGGGGTTTCACCGTATTAGCCAGGATGGTCTCGATCTCCTGACCTCATGATCCGCCCGTCTCGGCCTCCCAAAGTGCTGGGATTACAGGCTTGAGCCACCGCGCCCGGCCAGCACAAGCATTTTGTAATATTCAACACGCTCTAATTTTTAGCAAACTAGAGATAAAGGTAACTTCCTTATTTTAATAAAATGAAATCATTAAGAATGTAAAACATACACAATGATAAGATTTTTGAAGCATCCCATTAATATCAGAAACAAGACAGGGCTCCCAACTTTAATTGCTTGTAATCACTGCTATAATTGAATGTTCTGGAAAAACACAAACAAGAAAAAGAGATTAAGAGTCCCCCGAATTAAAGGTAAATAAATAAAATTGTTCTTATTTAAAGATGAGGATTGTCCACATACAATATATCCAGGTAAATCTAGAGAGGTTTTAGAACTAATAAGACTTTGGTAAGGTTGCTGGATGAAATCAATAAATAAAAATCAATAGTGTTCATACATACTGATAATAGTTCATTTAAAAAGCTTTTAGAAAAAAGTAACAAAACAAAACAAAAAACTTGCCCAGGAATATGCCTAACCCCAAGTTCTATATGTCTACAGATAAAAATTATTGAACAGTTTTGAAATTTATAAAAGACCTAAATAATTGGAGAGACAGACTCTGTTAATGGATGGGAAAAAAAGACACATTTTTATAACATATAATATATTAATATATATTAATTATATTATATAAAATAATATATTTATATATTTGTATATATATAATTGATATATTAATATATAATGTATCAATAACATATTAATACATTATACATTAATAACATATTAATATATTATATGTTATAATATGTGAATGTGTCTTTTTCCCATCCATTAACAGGGTCTGTCTCTCCAATTATTTATATTAATTATTTATAATATAATATATGAATGTATCTATTTTTTCCCCAAATTCATCTATAAATGCAACGCAATTCCAATCAAAATTCCAAGAGGAATTTTGGTCAAACATGAAAAGCTGATCCACAAATTCAAAGTGCCAAAATAACAGCCAAGGCTAGTAATAAAGCCACAGTGTAGTCATCCCTCAGTGTCTGCAGGGGATTGGTTCCAGGAACCCCCGAGGCTACCAAAATCGTGAATGCTCAATTCCCTTATCTAACAGGCATAGTATTTTCATATAATCTACACACATCCTCCTTTATACAGATGGTCCCCAACTTACAATGGTTCAACTTAACAGTTTTTTCTAACTTTACAATAGTGCATGCATTCAGTAGAAATAGTACTTCGAGTACCCATAAACCATTCTGTTTTTCACTTTCAATACAGTATTCAATAAATGTTTTGAGATATTCAACACTTTGTTATAAAACAGGTGTTGTGTTAGATGATTTGCCCAACTGTGGGCTAACGTAAGTGTCCTGAACATGTTTAAGGTGAGCTGGACTAAGCTATGATGTTTGGTAAGTTAGGTGTATTAAATGGTACGATCTCTTTGAAGAACAATTTGGTATATTTAGTGAAGTATAAAACACCCCATTCCTGTGCCCCATTCCTGTGCCTAACAGTTCTGCTCTTAGCCATACAGCCTACACGAGGGAAATTCTCACATGAAAAGGAGACCTAGACAAGAACGTTCATGACAACTTGTTACTCATGGAAAACAATACTGGAAAAACTAAATGCCCATTCACAGAACAGTTAATGGTGATATAGTCATGAAATCGAACATCGTATTTAAAATGAAAGACTTAGAGTTATGTTTACCAACATGGATAAATCTCAGAAATCTGTAGACTTTGATAGAAATTATATCTGGGTAGAAGATCTATCAGTGTCTGTTATATTTTAAATATTTCATTAAAATATCTATAAATAAGCTTCTTCAGCACAATTCTTTCTCTTTGTGTATTTAACCACTTACAAATAAAATTACCAGTAATCATAGGTGATAAGTTCTGAAACAGTTCAAAGTCAGAAAAATAGGCTCCCCAGGCCGGGCGTGGTGGCTCACGCCTGTAATCCCAACACTTTGGGAGGCCGAGGCAGATCACGAATTCAGGAGATCGAGACCATCCTGGCTAACACGGTGAAACCCCATCTCTACTAAAAATATAAAAAAATTAGCCAGGTGTGGTGGTGAGCGCCTGTAGTCCCAGCTACTCAGGATGCTGAGGCAGGAGAATGGCGTGAACCCGGGAGGCGGAGCTTGCAGTGAGCCGAGATTGTGCCACTGCACTCCAGCCTGGGCAACAGAGTGAGACTCCGTCTCAAGAAAAAAAAAAAAAAATGCTCACCAATCTTCACCTAAAAGCCCAAACCATGGCCAACTTGTTATTCTCTGTATCCAAAGTGTTGTTTATTCTTGTGTGCGCTACACTAAAAGTACTCATGTACTTTGAAGTACGTTTTCAAGTAACTTACCAAACAATTCTCATGAGCAGCTATATTCTCTGATTGTGCAAAATACAGCACATTATACTCGACATCTTTGGGGCAGAGTGCACATGTCCTTTTTTCCATCTTTTCTGCAACCTGAAAGACACCTATAAGTAACATCCCTGGTGAGAAATGGAAAAGTGGAATTTCTTGGTCTCACTAACTCCTCTTCCAGTCTTAAAGTAGAAGGTAGGGCACTTGTTTTTATGAGAGATTCTTAATTCCCAGAGAGATAAAAAATTGGGGACCCAAGTGGAAAAGCTATTTAGTTTTTATTTTTTAATGTGCTAATAAAAGAATTAATGAGTTCATTTCTAAATGCCTAATAATGAGGATAACTTCTTCTTTTTAAAATGTAGAGACAAGTGGCTTGTTCAGTTGCCCAGGCTGGAATGCAGTGGCTCACTGAAGCCTTGAACTCCCGAACTCAAGTGGTCCTCTCAGGTAGCTGGGACTATAGGTGCATGCCACCACAGCCAGCTAATTTTTTTTTTTTTTTTTTTTTGAGAGACCGGGGTCTTGCTATGTTGCCAAGGCTGTTCTCAAGCTCCTGGCCTCAAGTGATCCTTCTATGTTGGCATTTCCAAACTGCTGGGATTACAGGCATGAGCTACTGTGCCCAGCCAAAATGAGGAAGACCTTTATTCAAGAAACATAACCAGGAACATTTTCGCACAACATTGCTTGTTTCTGTGCATTGGGCAGAGCTGTCAACTCACTGATACGTAAGCTGCACTCCCAAGTACTTGGGTTCCAAGAGTCTCGGCATCTGGGAATACAGAGGTGGTCTGTAATGTCTGCCAACTGGGAATACAGAGAAGAACAAGACAGATATGCTGACAACACTGCTGTGCTAGACCCAGAGTTTGTCTCCAGTGCAGATGGATAAAAACACGGGGTTGGACCCACAGGTTCTCCCTAGTGGCTTTTTCCTGCTAAATCCCCTCACATCACAGCATCCTAATAGATTTCGGCTCTTCTAGTTCTTTTAATCTTCTAGACTGGAGGAAGCGTGTAATTCTCTGCAGTTAGGGGAGCCACACTGAGGACTTTTACACAGGCATCTCTCACTATCTGAACTCTTGCTATGTGTTATCTGAAACTCATGGACCACATACATTTGGACAGTTTGGTATCCCTCACCATCTGAATCAGGAATTGTACAGATTCGGAGAGGGAGAGATGCCTAAGGGTGTGTCATGAAGGCTGAAGTATTTTAGGGAAGAGCCCCTTGGTTTTCATCTGTAGCTGGCACCAAGAATAGTGATGGCCAGCAGGGCTCCCCAGGCTCCTTTCTAGGGGGTTTAGCAACCCTGAGGACTCACAGAGCCTGACCCGACAAGATTGCAGAATCTTAGAATTCTCACAAATGAAACTGAGAGCCAATAAAGTTTATACAGAATGAAACCACAGAAAGATCACAAGCGTGCACTATGAGAACTATGACTAATTCAAACAACACACTGATTCTTAGTCTCTCTGGCAATCTGCAGGCCCACTTCAATGTGGAAATGGATTGCCAAGACTCTAGCCTCTACTCTTAAAGCCCTCCAGCCAAGGGCAATCCACCCAGGGCACAGAATCTGGGGAAACCAGGAAGGGTGGCCAAGGAACACATTCTGCCACTAAAGAAATGGGTGAAACAGATGGAATGGGATTCACTAATCCTATCATTTCATTTAGAATTCTCTTCCAGTATAGATTTGTTCTGGGCTGGTAACTAATTTATGGTGCTGGTGTGGAGAGTTCCTCCTTTTTTCTCCTTTTATCGTTAGTATTTATTGCAGTTTACTATTTTAGTTCTTCCACTGTTTGCTGGATGTGTAGAAGCCAATTTTATCACTGGTCCAGTGATTGCCTACCTGAACTGGATACAGACCAAAACAGTAGACATTACCTAGAGGCTTGGCAAGGAACTTGGTAATGGCCTTGGAGAATGAATGGCTCCATCGCATTATCTCAGGGTGAAGTGGCTAGATATGACTTTGGCAGAAGTTAAGTGTGACTGAATTTGGTTTCGGTATACCTAGAATTCATTACTGGGAACAGAATGCATCACTGGGAACATCTTTAGAATGTATAAATAGGAATAAGGATGTGTGTGTTATAGAGGAGGGACCATGGGGAACCAAAGGGTAGGATGTTCAACAGACTCCTTTAGGGTATCTGTTCAGCTCACAATGACCCCCAGCAGGCATGTTTGTACTTCATTCCTGTAGACATAGCTGATAGTCCCAGAGGACCTGCCCATCTCTCAGATATATGGAATTCAGGATAGAAGATTTCAGTTCAGATTGGGCTGGTTTCTTAAAGAAGAAGATGTAAAAACGGAGAGGCTGCCAGGGCAGCCATCTTCTATACCATTACCAGGAAAACTGGACCAGAGAAAGACAGAAGAACAAAGCAGATACACTGAGAGATGCAGAAATAAGAGATAAAGGAGAGTGTCGGTTTATAATGGCTTCTCAGGTCCTAGTCCTCAGCACTTTCTGTAAGATTCTAAAGCATCCGTGCTCTGGGGGTCTGTGAGTCTGGTCATCCTGCTTTCTATTAATAAGCATCCCTTATGCTTAAATTACATCAAATTGTTTTTGTAGTACTTGCAGCCAGTATGTGCTTATTAACACTGGAAGGACCATGACCTGATCTGTGTGTGCACATTCACATGTGTATATGTGTGTTTGTGTGCCCATGTGTGTTTAAGAGAAAGGCAATGCTGGCAGCGGTGTGGAAGGTGGACTGCCTTACCCTCAGGGTCTTTCACCTAGTCCATTCCAGTGATCTCTTGTCTTTGTCTCTATTTTCCCTGTCATGATCCCACTCCATTCTTTACATTACCATCAGAATGATCTACTGGAAATGTACTACGTTACTGTCAGAATGATCTACCTGAAATATACGAGGTTACTGTCAGAATGATCTACCTGAAATGTACGAGGTTAGCATCAGAATGATCTACCTGAAATGTACGAGGTTACTGTCAGAATGAGCTACCTGAAATGTACTAGGTTACTGTCAGAATGATCTACCGGAAATGTACGAGGTTACTGTCAGAATGATCTACCGGAAATGTACTATGTTACTGTCAGAATGATCTACCTGAAATGTACGAGGTTACTGTCAGAATGATCTACCTGAAATGTACGAGGTTACTGTCAGAATGATCTACCGGAAATGTACGAGGTTACTGTCAGAATGATCTACCGGAAATGTACTATGTTACTGTCAGAATGATCTACCTGAAATGTACGAGGTTACTGTCAGAATGATCTACCTGAAATGTACTAGGTTACTGTCAGAATGATCTACCTGAAATGTACGAGGTTACTGTCAGAATGATCTACCTGAAATGTACTAGGTTACTGTCAGAATGATCTACCTGAAATGGACATCTACCCGCATTTCCCCATCACCTACAGAAGTCAAGCTCCACAGTGTTATATATAAGTACATTCATTCCTTCAACAAATATTTAATGAGAACTTACTATTATTTAATATTTAATGAGTACCTACTATGTCCTACTACTACTACTAGGCCAACTAGTCTAGACACTAGGGATAGAAGAGAGTAAGATGAATTTACATGCCAGTGGTGTGGTAAAGACAGGCATTAAACAAGTTTTGTTTTTTTTTCCGGGTAGTGAGTGATAAGTGCTATAGAGAAAAATAGAGCAGGAGAAGGAGGTAGAGAGTGACAGGAGCAGGGGCAAGGGGTGCTCTTTTAGACAGGATGGGCAGGCAAGGTTGAGGGAAGATGTGTATGAGCAGACATCTGAATGTGATCGGGAACTGAAAATGGGATGATGTGGCAATGAGTTTTCCTTGCAGAAAATAGTAAATGGAAAGATCCTGAGGCAGGGACACCTTTGGTAGCTTAGAGGACCTACAAGGTGGCAGGATAGCAGAGTCATTAAGATGGCCAGGAGTCAAATCAGATAAGGACATGGGGTAAACTGTAGGCTGGGCTTACAGGTTGTTGTGAGAGTCATAGGAGACTATTGGTGGGTTTTGAGTAGGAGAATCACATTTACTTTTTGTTTTTCAAAAAGCATTTTGGCTGCTATGCAGGCCTGCCTGTATTAAAGGCTAGAATAGAAGCCAGGAAAGCAATAGTCAAGGCAGAAGATCAGGATGGCGTAGGCTTGGGTGGCAGTAATGGAAGTAGTGAGAAGCAGTCAGGCTCCAGATACAGTCAGGCTGAATACAGAACTGGCTGGCCTGACTGATACATTAGAAGGGGTGTGGGGAGGAAAAAGAGGCCCTGAGGAGCCACTAAGGTTTTTGGGAGGAGCAACTGGATGAATGGCATGGGCTGGTGGTTGAGCAGGTTTGGAGTACTTGAGTAGAGTGGGGGAAACAAGAATTCTCTTTGGGACATACTCAGTTTGAGATCATTTCAGACTTGGAAGAAGTTGGTTATACCAGTCTGGAGTTTGCGGAAGACGTCAGGATGGAATCGCATCTCTCGTGACTCATCTTACAGTCCATAGTACACCAGCGAATGAAATATCCAACTGATTGACTTGTGGTTGACACGTATGATGTTTACGTATGACGTTTTGTGGTTGGTGCCTTTATTTGTGTCATCTTCTCTGCTGGGAACACCCCTTCAACTTTTCCACCTTTGGCTGAGTCTTGCCCTTTAAGGTAAGCCCAGGAAACATGGAGAAACCCTGTCTCTACTAAAAATACAAAATTAGCCGGGCGTGGTGGCACATGCCTGTAATCCCAGCTACTCGGGAGGCTATACTCGGGAGACTGAGGCAGGAGAATCGCTTGAACTCGGGAGGCAGAGGTTGCAGTGGGCCGAGATCGCGCCATTGCACTCCAGCCTGGGCAACAAGAGCAAAACTCTGTCTCAAAAAAACAAAAACAAACAAACAAAAAAAAGGTAAGCCCGGGCATCCTCTCCTCAAAAAGCTTTCCCTGAACACCGGGAGTCAGGAGTCTCTCATCAGTACCTCTGTGGTTCTGACCTCATTAAAGTTGCCTAGTAGAGTCTCTAGGGCAGGGCCTGCCTAACTCATCTTCGTATGCTCAGGGCCTTGCCCTGAGCCTGGCACACCGTTAGGAGCACTAAACATACGCAAGGGCAGGAACCCGTCAGAAGACCCACCCACTCAAGGAGAGGGCCGGGGAGGACCGGAACGACTGGGGAGGAGGAGACGGGTTCCAGTCACTTCCTCCGTGAACGTGAGACCCCGCTCTTCCCTCAGGGCCGGCCCCTGCCTCCCCGCAGCAGTGCGCCCCTCCACTGTCCTGGTTTACCTGTGAGTGGAGGAGCGCTAGGAGAGTTGACATCGGTTGTGGTGGAAGCACTAGGCTGTCACCCGCGGGAGAGGTAAACCGAAGCATGCCCGCCACTCGTGTGAAACCATGGCCAGTCAGAGCCACCCGTGGAACTGGCCCGGGCCGCGCCCTGTCCTCTGGCGCCCCCCGACACGCACGCGAGTGCCGAGCCACGTTTGTCCAGCGCGGCCCCGGCGTCTGGGGCCCCGGCTCGGAGTAGGGGCAGGTCGGGGCCCCCAAGAGGCCACGACCGGAGGCAGGCCCCTTGCTCGGGCCCGTTGCCGCCCAGCCCCGCCCGCCCGCCCGCCCGCCCCCGCGGTACACACCGGTGGGAAGGAAGAGCGCCTCCTGCGCGGGTTGGGCTTCCGGGCTGCCGGCGCTGTCCACCCTCTGGGGTCGGAGCGGCGACGCCTGGGCCATGGCTCTGCTGCAGCTGCGGGTGGCGTCCGGATGGCGAGATCCCGGAAGTGCCCTGGCTGCACTAGGTTTCGTTTTCTCAAATCTGGGCTGTCGCTTTCAGTCACTAGCCAGCCCGAGAAAGCTGGATGTGCAGATAGGGGTTCTCACGCACACTGCTCCGGATTCAAGTCTAGTCTAAATTTGAATAGCTTAAAAAACCCAAACGCCGGGCATGGTGGCTCACGCCTGTAATCCCAGCACTTTGGGAGACCGAGGAGGGCGGATCACGAGGTCAGGAGTTCAAGACCAGCCTAACCAACATAGTAAAACCCCATCTGTACTAAAAATACAAAAATTAGCTGGGCATGGTGGCGCGTGCCAGTAATCCCAGCTACTCCGGAGGCTGAGGCAGAAGAATCGCTTGAGCCGGGAGGAGGAGGTTGCAGTGAGCCGAAATCAAGCCACTGCACTCCAGTCTGGGCTACAGAGCGAGACTCCCGTCTCAAAAACAACAACAAAAAAACCCCAAATGCCAGGCTTTCCTACTCCACCCCCCACGACTCAGCAGGAGAAACACTCACTCTCCTGAGGATTCCTCCTAAAAACTTTTATCATACTGGCCGGGAGGGCGCGGTGGCTCACGCCTGCAGTTCCAGGACTTTGGGAGGCCGAGGTAGGCGAATCACGAGGTCAGGAGTTCGAGACTGGCCTGGCCAACATGGCGAAATCCCGTCTCTACTAAAAATACAAAAATTAGCCGGGCTTGGTGGCAGGCACCTGTAATCCCAGCTACTCCGGAGGCTGAGGCAGGAGAATCGCTTCAACCCAGGAGATCACGGGTGAGCCGAGATCACGCCACTGCACTCCAGCCTGGGGGACAGAGCAAGACTCCGTCTCAAAAATAAATAAATAAATAATAATAATAAAAAAATTATACTGAGTCTGGCCTAAATAAGCATATCTTAAAAGGACGCAGAATTAATTGATCCTAAATCCAGTTGCCAGTAGCAAGTCTTTATTTAGCACCCATAGGGTACAGAGCACCATATAAGATGAGGTTTCCAGTGAATCTAACAAATAGGTAGAGAATATAAATGCATATACTTATAGTTAAAAAATAGTTGTTCTGGAAAAAAGACATATAATAGTTGGTGGTTTGCTGAGGAATTAATCAAAGGAAAACTGGAGGTCTTCCACTTTCAGCAGGTTGTAAAGAAGAAGACTGCCAACTAGGGATAGCAGAAGAGAGAAACATTAAAAAGGACAATTTGTATAGTCTTGACAACTATGAAATGAATTGCAGAAGAGTGTGGAGTCTGCAAAACAGGGAAGTGAGCAGACCCTAGCAGCCAATTATTATTATTATTATTATTATTTTTTTTTTGCCCTCCACGCAGGAGGATGGAAGAGTATTTCTTGTAGGCCAAAATGAAAGGCCCTAAAGAGACTGACATTAGGGTGTTCCCCAGCAAAATAGCTCAGGTAGGTCATAGAAAAACAAACAGCCCTTTACCACACACTCAGTTTACAGTAAGCTTTTTGGTGTTCCACACTTAAATATGAGTAGACTACCAAGACCATTAACTCTGAGGAAAGCCTGTAATGTGAATGAGACCAAAACAAACATATAGGGGAAACCAAGAAACAAACTCTGGAGGACACAGATTATGCAGAAAGAATATAGAGATGCATGCATGTGTATGTATACGTGTGTGCATATACATACATAAACATACAAACATCTTCAAAGAGATAAAATACTGCAACTATGAGCCAAAATAGGATGCTATTAAAAAAATATTCAGAGAAGGGGAGCTCTTAGAAATTAAAAATATGAGACAATATGAGTCTAGAAAAATAAAATGCAACAGATGAACTGGAAGATTAAATTGAGAAATGGTCCTAGGAAAAGGTCTTAGCAAGAAGACAGACCTGAAAGTTAAGAGAAAAGGTAGGAAAATTAGAGATCAAACTCTGGAGGTCTAACATCTGGAAAAAAAAGAGAGAAGAGATGGGAAATCATTAGTTTCAGACTGAATGATCCCACCAGGCACCTACTACAAAGGATGAAAATGGACTCTTAACAGGGACAGAACCTTGAGACAAAGATAAACCTATAAGCTTCAAGAGAGATAAAAACAGATTATGCAAAAGAGAAGGAACAGAATGGCATTCGATTTCCAGTAGTCACCCTGGAAGCCAGAAGACAGTACATTTTCAGACTCCACAGCAGCAGCACTGAAAGCTAGCAGATGTCTTCAAAACTGGGCATGGAGACCACTAAAGAATTCTATACCTTGCCAACCAAAACAGCAATCAAGTATAAGGGTAAAATAAAGACATTGTCAAACACAAAGAGATTCAAAACATTTACTTCTCATTTTTCCTTTTCAAAAGCTATTAGAAGAGCTTTACCAATATGTGGAAGAGTAAACCAAGGAAAAGGAAAATAATGGGATCTAACTGGAAACAGATCTGACATAAGAGAAAAAGTGAATCTCTGGGGTACTGATGGAAGATGATAGCTATGAACAGTCCAGACTAAAGCACATTAAGATTTTAGGAGAAATTTCTCCAAGATAAAACTGACAGAATATCTCATATTCCTAAAGGTCAAATGGACTCCACAGGCAGAGCTCAAGGAAATACTGACTGATCCATAATATTCTCTTTTGCACAAAAATAGTTCCTGTACTGATCCAAGTTCCCCCCCCCCCCATTTCATTTTAGTGCATTGCCTGAAATTCCTGCATCTCTACGGTGAATAAATGGATTTCTCAACTTTCCTCTTCTGTAGGTTGCTGGGCTGTTTTGCTCCTTTCCCTAGCTGTCTGGTTTCCCAGTCTGCTTGGCCTTCCCAGTCCCCTTTTCCAATAGATGATTAGGGCCAAGTAACCTATGGTAAAGTGCTTATTCTTTCCCTTTTTTCTGTAAAAAAAAAAAAAAAAAAAATTTGCAAATCATGCCCAGGAGATACCAAGGGGCTGTTTCAGATTTCACAGTTCAGAATTGTTTTCGCACGTGTGTGTGTGAGAGTGCTGTGTTGTTTTTTGGAGACCAGGTCTTGCTCTATTGCCTAGTCTGGAAGTACTATGGTGAAATCACATCTCATTGCAGCCTTGACCTTCCGAGCTCAAATGATCCTCCCACCTCACTCCTGAGTAGCTGGGACTACAGGCACATGCCATCATGTCAGGCTAATTTTTGTATTTTTTGTAGAGACAGGGTTTTGCCATGTTGCCCAAGCTGGTCTCAAACCCCTAGGCTCAAGTAATACGCCTGCCTCGGCCTCTCAAAGTATTGGGATTACAGGTGTGAGCCACCATGCCTGGCCTTCTTGTGCTTTTTAAGTGAAATTTTTGCCCAGCCCAATTACTTCTGGCCTAAATAAGCCAAGTTTGACTACTTTCTAGGTTTCCTTTTCAATAACTGTATCTCTAACTCTACCTAGAACAAAAATATTCAAGTTCCTCCAGGTTTCTATTCCCTCTTGTCCTATCTTTTTGTACTGAAAGAGTAGAGAAAATCTGTGGAAAAGAAGATTCATTTCAAAGAGTTTGCCAGAATCTTACTTACAGAAGAGGTTCTCCCTCTCTTCACTCACATGGTTGATGGGACAGTGTTTTATGGATCCAGATATTGCTTCTCCAACAAGTGTTAAAATACTTGGGAGTAACATGCATAAAATTAGTTCCTCAGGCGCTGTTGCCCACCTTGTAGCTCATAATGGTAAATGATTTGCCAGGAATTAAAAATCAATTTTGTAGGTAAAAATGTGAAATTTAGCTCTCCGGGGGGGGCATGAACTAAAAGGTAACAGTCACAAAGCAATTAGAAACAGCTGAGTTCTGTTATGACATTTGTTTCTCTTAATATATAATTTGTAAATAAATTATAAGTTGTACAGTGGTATTTCATGTAAAATATACACTTCTATCCTACTCATGTAAAGTAGCACAGCAGTGAATGAGATACCCTATGTGTATGAAAATGTCCTAATTGTGTTCTTG